CCGAAGTCAAAGGTCCCCCATCCTGCTGTTTGAGTCTCATCCTTTCAGGATGACCTTGAGGGCTTTAAGCTCATCCTGGTTGAGGGGGTTCAGGTTAAAACCCTTCAGCTCCGGTTTTCCTGCAAGAAGAAGATAGTCATGATTAAACTGGGCCCCCTGCTGCCCAACCTACTGCTGACTTGGGAGCCAGGCCCAGGAAAGTAGCTAACACTGCATTAACATTGCCAATTTGGCCTGAGAGGTGCAGGGCTGGGCCTGGGATTCTGCAGTGCACAGGCTGATACGTGTCAACACTACTCCTGGTGAAGAACTAGCAAAGTCATAACTGCTACACACAGATCTGCAGATTCTCATCAGACCTGTGATCTGATGTGTTTAAGTTTACCCCAATTTAAGCTCTGACCTGTGACTAAAGTCTTCTGGGTTTCTCCTGTCCTAGCTACCTTGGTACCCACACCATGCAAGAAAGATCACCCTAGGAAGCTCCTGGTGCCTGGAAAAGGACCCATGACAAGAATGAGCCTCACAAGCCTCCCTGTCCTACCTCTGAGCAGCTATAGACAACCACTGGTTATGTCCCACTGCCCACCCCTTTCCAAACATTCTCTAACAATCTTTCAATAGCTTCCTCCCGCCCAGCTTTCAGCCTGCCAGGCCAGTACCTTGGGCTTCGAAAAGGCGGTTAACTTTCACTTTAAGTTGATTCCGGAGTCTTTCTATTTCTTTATCCAGGTGCTCCTGATCTGAAAAGGTGCAGCAGGCAGAGAGGACAAGGTTATATTGCAGAGAGGGACCCCAGCTCTCCACCTAACACCCACAAGAGCCAAGGCTTGTAGCACACAGGGAGGAAAAGGTGACCTCAGAGAAGGGCTGAGAAAGGATTAACACCAGAGTAAGCAAAGTATGCTAGGTGGCTGGCTGGTGGGTGGCCAAGAAACTTTACAAACCCAAGTACCATCAAGGCCCTGTGAAAATGTGACCTAAGTAGCCAAAGGAAGAGCCTACTGCTCCAGCATAACCTGGATATGGTCAGCCATGGCGAGCCGGAAGGACCAGTCTACCATCCCCATAGTTTGTACCCGAGAAATGGCAGTAAAACAACACAGGAACCTATCGAAGCTTGATCAATCAACTGGTGGGAGGGACACTACTCAGTAAGTTCACTGCCTAGTCTCATTTCCCACTGAGGAAAACCCTGACTAGCCAAGCTTCATGGCCTTGGTAATGATTTCATTTCTCACTGAAAATAAGGAAGGGTCCCATGAACTTGTTCAGCCTATTTTGAGTTGGGGGAAGCCTGATAACTTCCTAGAACCCCTCATATAGAGATTAGACAACATTTGTGGGTCAGCAGGACCCCTGAGATTTCAGCTGCAAAGTATCTGGCCCATTACCTATGCACAGTATCGTTTTCCACCTGACTGCCTTAAGTAGGGTCTACCAAGCTCTTTGGCCAGGTTGGCTGACATGGCTGAATGTGCCTGTAACCCAGCACTAGAGGATGGAGACAGGGAGATTCAAAGAGCGTGCTGGCCAACCAGCCTAGCCAAAGAAGTTGGTAGACCCTACTTCAAGGCAGTAAGGTAGAAAACGATAAAGGAAGACATCCTGTTTTGACCTCCGCATGCACATACCCAGTGCAACACACACACACACACACACACACACACCCCACAGGCTCATGCAAAAGCTCACTTATCCAGGCCCCTTTACAGTTATGGATGGCCTTGACCAATAAGGTTTTAGCAAATGACCTTATTTTCAAACAGAAAACAAAGACCTCATATGAAAAAAGCCCATTGCCTTTCTCCAGCCTGCTATACAGACCAAAGGACTAGGCTATGGGGCCACTGCTGAGTGTCTGGGAAACTGCTTTTGTTGTTGTTGACTTTATTTATTTTGTGTGGAATGTATGTGTGTGGCTGGAGCTCAGAGGTCAAGCTGAGTTGGTTCCTCCTTTTATCATGTGGGTCCTGAGGTTTGAACTCAGGTCATCATCAGGCACATTTACCTGCTGAGCCATCTCAACAGCACTCTAGGAAAACAATCATTGTTGGTATTCTTTCCTTCCTTTGGACAACTTTTAATGAGGAAAACAGTATTTTAAGCTCAATTTGTAAATTTTTGTAACCCAACTGACTTTTCCCTAGTAAATAAGAATCATGCTAACCATACTGTTTATCTCAGCTTCACAACTGTGCTGTGTAGATGCCCCACTCACACATGAGGAAGGCCCACTGTGGCAGAGCAGGAACCAAAACCACATCGACTCTACAGTACAGCTGCCTCTCAGTTCTGGATAATGACTGGTAGGGAAGTGACCATGTCCTTGAACATTCCAGGAGACCTTACCTTTCTGGATCATTTCCTTTGTCTTAGGGTGAGGCATTTTGATGAACATGTTCCCAAAGCAAACCATCACATCTTCTGAAATAGCAAACAGACATTACTTCAACACGTTTTATTTCTTCTTTTTGAAGCACTGACTATCTGCCAAGCACTGTTTGGATGCTAAGAACATAGCCCAACAAGACAAGTTCTTGCCCTTGTGGAATTCATAACAAAGCAAAAGACAGTAAATAAACAAGTTGTTTTCCCACATAGTGCTAAGTGATGGGAAGCATCAGGAGAGGTACAAGGGCTCTTTGCAGATGTGACATCCAGGCAGAGAACTGAGGAAAGGGGGGGGTATCTTCCCTAGACACCTGGGCAGAGCCCAGGCAGAGGGATGGCAACAGCCAGAACTGGCAGTGTTTTGGTGTCAGAACAACCAAGAGACCAGTGGGTCAATGAGTGGGTGAGAGAGTGGGGGCTAACATGGTGGAGTGTGTGGGGCGGGGTCATGTGGAATCAATCCTGCAGGACAACTCTGGGTTTTACTCCGGTGAGATAAGCAGCCAGTGGAATGGACGTCAGTGCCCTTCATTATGCCCTGAATGCTGCCCATCCTTCCAGAACTGCTTCAGGTTGTCCCCCACTTGCTCACACTGCCAAAGTCACAGCCACCTGGCTCATCTAAAGAGCCCCATCTCCTCCCTCCTAGACAGTCTCAACATCCACTCATGGCCAACTCCATCTTTAGCTTTCCACAATTTTCAGTTGTATGTTTACACTGCTTTTCCTCATGTGGAACATAAGGGCAGATCTATTATTGCTTCTAAGTGCTGTGTGCCATTGATGAGTGATAAGCTAATGGCCTGTCACTGAAGTGAGCAGCTCAGATCCTGAATCACAGCATATGTCTGACCTGCAACGTTTGCCCGCTCTTCCCCACAAGCTGTTTTCGTTTCCTGTGAGGCTGAGTCACACAGTCCCAGCCTCCTGCCTGCTCTCTAGCAGGGACAACAAAGGCCTTCACAGGAGAACTGCATCAGTTTCCAGGGCTTCAGTGAGGATGTTACAACTTACCAGAGACGCTCAGGTCCTTCTGTAGGGCCCTCAGGCCCTCTCGGTTCTGATTCCTCTTGGTATCCAGGTCTACAATCTGAAAACAGAAGCAGATAGGAACTCAGCTGCCTCCCGCCCCAACCTGAAGAGACAAGGAATCCTTCCTGGCTGGAGGCCAATGTCTTGGTTAACATGGACTGAAGCATGAGCGTGTTTCTTTACCCACTCAGTTGCCAGCCCCTCGGCCTGTACAGGAGCCTCCTTCCTCCAGAGCAGGTGCTAGGAAAAAGTTTACCAATTAGGAATCATTTGCACAGCCCAATTCAAACCTGAGCATGTACCAGGGTCATCAGAGAGTTTAGTGTCTCCCCTGGGCAGTTATTGTTGACAGGCTATTGTAGGAAAATCTAACAGTCTCCCCAGACATGGACGTACACCACCATGACAGCTACTCAGGCAATGACTCTGGGGCTGGAGTCCACAGGAATCCTGCTGCTTGTGAACCACAGAGGCCTTCTCACTATAGACCACAGGAGTAACTATGGCAGCTTTTGGAGACCATTTCCAAAGTATATTTCTCACCCCATCACTAACATCTGGTCCAAATCCAGATCTGGATAACTAAATTCGTGGTTCTCAGCCTGTGGGTCTTGACCCTTGGAGTCGAACAACCCTTTCACAGGAGTCACCCAAGATCACTGCAAAACATTGCAATTCATAACAGCAGCAAAATTACAACTATGGTTCCGGGAGGTGGTGGCACATGCCTTTAATCCCAGCACTCAGGAGGCAGAGGCAGGCGGATCTCTGGTGAGTTTGAGGCCAACCTGGTTTACAAAGCTACAAAGAGAAACCCTGTCTCCCCCCCCCAAAAAAATTACAACTATGAAGTAGCAACGAAAATTACTTTATTGGGGGGGGGTACCCATAACATGAACTGTATTAAAGGGTTGCAGCATTAGAAGGTTGAGAACCACTGATCTCAATGGTTCTTTGCACACTAGTTAGCAGCTAGAGAAGACTTTTAAAACCTAAGTCCCGTGCATGCACGCCTATAATCCCAGAACTCAGGAGGGCGGACAAACACGGACTGTTCAAGGCTATCCGAGATTACACAGTGAGTTCGAGGCCAGCCCCAAGACACATGAGTCCCTCTAAAGTTTAGAGTCTAAACCAACCTATCAATCAATCAAAATCCAAAGATAACATTCTCAGCACTCAGAACTCCCTTTGGAGACTCACCACTTAATCATAGATCCAGAGCCAAGCTCCCCTTTCGGGTCTACGAGGCCCTCCAGCCTCCCCCGCCCCACTCCACGTCACCCTACCGTCCAGCCAAATGCCGCTCGGGTCTCAGCAACCTGACTCACGATGGGGGTCGGGGAAGCCGCATGCAGAGGGTAAGGTTCCGGGGGGCCCGCAGGGACAGGGTCAAAGGGAGGCTACTGCCCAGCGCAGAGGAGGCGCTCGCTCCGGAACCCCGCGCGCTTGCCCAGCTTACGAAGCTAGCCGCCGCCGCGTCTCTCACCTGCCGCTTGTCCGACAGCACCGCCTCGGCCAGCTCCTCCACTTCGACCAGGTACCGCATCACCCGCTCCGCTTCAGGGGACAGCATGGCGACACACAGCTCTCAAGACACCTTCGGCACCGCTTCAACGCCCCTTCTGCTCTATCCACGCACGCGCCGCGCTGAGGACTTCCGGCGCGCCTGCGCAGTGAAAAAAAAAAGGCCCTTAGAGGGGTGGCGCATGCGCATCAGCGGGGCGCCGGAGGGGCGGGTCTAGCTTTGGGAGCGGGACAGGAGCGCCCCCTTCAGTCTCTGAGGGAGCAGCCCAGTGCGCTGCCTTCTTTGCTCTCCCTTCAAAGGGTTGTTGAGTATCCACTGTGTACCACGTTGGATGGAGCAAGGAGTAAAACACCCCGACTTTAGAAACGTCGTCCCAGTGGGAAACAACGAACACTGATGGGAAAATAGTTACATATTATGGGTGGTAGAGTTAAGAGCTTTGGAGACACAGAAATCCTAAGTCCTGTTTAACGACGCCGAGAAACCGTGTGGCAGAGAGACTTATATTTAACTTATATTTCAGCTTCTGGTTTGTAAATAATGGGTGATAAAAATTACCCCCCCACACACACACACACACTCTCTCCTGAAGATGAAAAGGAAACAGTAATCATTTTAAATCTCGTCTGGCTGCTGCGTTTGTTGAATCCAGTGTCCTCAGTAGCAAGCTGAGACCCACACAGAAGGAGCTGGAAATTGTCCAGGGTGAGCAGTGAAGTGTCAGTAAGAGTACAGTTGTAAAGCTGGGGGCTCAGAGGCGAGGCCTGGGAGTTTTTGCCTCGCCGATGCCATTTTGCTTATCTGTGTATATAACTGGAATTAACCCAGTGCCTCTCACACGCTCAGCTCTGCCACTGAGCTGTATGCCATTTGTGTGAGTGTATGTGCTGTGTGTGTGGGGGGGTGGGTGGGTGGGGGGGGGGGGTTGTGTGGTGCATGCATGTAAGTGTGGGGGCACCTGTGTCCATGCAGACACATGCAGAGGCCAGAGTAGGGTGTCAGCTGCTTTCCTGTCTTTCTCCACCTTCCTGCCTTGAAATAGAACCTCTCACTGAACCAGAAGTTCGCTTTTGGGCTAGGCTGGCTAGCCAGTGAGCTCTGTGTATGTACCCAATGCTGAGGTAACAGTCCCACACAACCATGTCTGGATTTTTATTTATGTGGGTGCTTGGGATTCGAACCCAGGGCCTCATTCTTTCAGAGTGAACACATACTCACTGAGCTACCTCCCCAGCCCTAAGGCCCAGATCGGATGTTCACTTTTTAGTCTCCTTTATTGACTTCTGGTGACTTAGGTCCTTAATACACTGGCTCACTTGATTTTCATGGCCTCTTTTGTATAAATAGGGTCATTACTGTTAAGTTTTATAGCTGCAGGCTTAGGCTGGGAGCAGGATAGGTCAGACACAGATCTGGGGGTGGGGGGCCCTGGGCTCCACCGCACAGCTGCCTTTGGACATTCTCAAACTGGGGCTCACTGAAGCCCAGAAGCGCCTCCTCTTTGTCTGGCTTTGGGCTGCCTTCAGTTCCCAGAGACTGAGCCAGTTTACTCTGCAGCTGCCTGGTGTGGGGAAGGAGGAAGCTTCATTAAGGATTCCTCATGGAGGGTGAATTTGTCGCCAAACCCAGGATGTTTTGTGTAAACACCTTCTGGTTCAGAAATGCAGGCACAAGCCCTGGGAAGGAAGCAGGGATATTTGCCAAAGGAAAAATGAGCCTTTCCAGGAATCCCTGGGGCCCGGACCTAACCCTGGGTCTCTCCACCTTAAGGCCAAAGATGGCCGGACAGGCTGACACCTCTGACCCCTGCCAGGTGGGCCTGCATACGAGGATTAGGGTAGACCCCATGCTAACAGTTTGTTGGCTCTGACCTTCCCCCAGAGGCTACATCTGGTCACCGGACACGGGAAAAGAGAGCACAATCATATCCAAGAGTTGAGATGAACAGATTGTGGACTCTGGGACATCACTGATACTCCTCAACTATTCATTTCATAAAAATAAAGCAATTTCCCAGGCTCAGGGGTTCATGAGTCTACTATGCGCAAAGCCAGGTGTGGTGTCTGCCTTCAGGCTGGGGGAGGAAGTGGACAATCAGCAGGTAAAACAAGCAAATGTATCCTGTATCAGGTGCAGGTTAAGGCTCGTCAGGCGCCCCGCCAATGCAAAGTGGAGAGGGAGTGGTGCAGGAGCTGTTTGGGATAAAGCAGTCATGGAGAGCTTCTCTGAGGAGGTGGCATTGGAACAGAAGTGTAGGGGAGGTGAGGGAGTGAGCCATGTGGCTGTCTGGTGAGACGAGACAACGTGGCAAGCAGAGGACACAGCAAGCGCAAAGACCCTGAAGTGAGCATTGGGCAAGCTGAGGACTGGTGAGGCATTAATGCAGGAGGACGAGAATGGGTGAGGGAGAAAGGTGGGAGATGAGGGCAGAGGGATGGAGGAGGCTCTGAATATATATGGCCAGAGAAAAGAGGTATCAGTGCCATACCCCTATCTCTAAGGCTCTCACTGGGCATCATCTGCCCTCCCTGCTGCCCAGACCTGTGACTTGTCTCTGCTCACTGATGTAAGGTGAGTGGCAAGTTCCAGGTGAGGCCTGCAGGAATGGGGCCCTGGTAAGAGGAGGGAGGGATGAGTGAGTGATGGACAGCCCCAGTGTCCATTCCAGAGAGTGAAGGGTCATTGGACCAAAGGGCAGTAGGGGAGTCATGGCCAATGGAGGGATTCTCAGGACAATTTGCACACACTTACCACCAGCCTGGTTTAATTTCCTCCTACCCCTTGCTCCTGCACAGCCATGGCATGTCTCAACTTCTCAAGTGCCCCTTTGCTCGCTGTGTGTCTCCGCCTCTGCACTTACCACATCATTTTTTTCCAGAGAGAAGTCACACAGATCTGGAAGACTCTACAAGGCTGATTGACTGATTGAAACTTCGTGTTTGTGGAGAGTTGGAATGAGGTAATTCAGAGGTAATTCAGAGCTGAATTACCTCACGCTGTCTTTATTCTCCTTACTAGCCGTTCATTGCCAAACTCTGTGACCTAACGTCTTTTTTGGTATCAGGCAAAAACCTTTGGAATACACTTTAAGTAGACCACTAGATCCCGTACCACCCAAACACTAAAGACGTCAGCAGATAGCATCTAAAACTCAACTGGTTTCCCCATTTTGCTGTACTTCATCTAACTGTAGTCCCCACCAATATATTTAATAAATGGGTTGAATTTTGTCTTTGTCTTGGTCTATGACTAAGAGAAGCTCATGTAACCTGGGATGGGCTTGGTAGTTCATGCCTTTAATTTCAGCCCTTGGGAGGCAGAGGCATCTCTGCGAGCTCAAGACCATGCTGGTTTACATAGAGTTTTCCAGGCCATCCAGGCCAACATAGTGAGAACTTGTCTCAGAAACAATCAACAACAAAATAACTCAGGTAACTTTTGTCCATGGTGGAGCAGTCACCTGAGGTAGTCTGAGTCTGCATTTAGGACCATGGACTCTCATATTGGTGGCCAGAATAAACTATTATTCCCTTTGAGATGACAGCTAGGTTTGCCTCAGCAGGACCTTAGCTGTCCAATTCATGGCTGTATCTCTGGGACAAGAATATGCATAGCACAGCCATGCTCAGTTAGCGATTGTGGCAGAGCCAGCCCATGAGGCCACTAGGCTGGGTGGCTACATGGCTGGTATACTGCTGAGACAATTTAAACTCTAGGAGGGTGACCTTTTGTTTCTCCTTCTCTTTCTCTTTTTTTTCTTTATGTTTTTTGGAGACAGGTTTCTTTGTGTAGCCCTGGCTGTTCTGGAACTTTTTCATTACACCAGGCTGGCCTCAAACTCAGATCTTCCTGCCTCTGCCTCCTGAATACTGGGATTAAAGGTGTGAGCCACCACCATATCACCAGCCTTCTTTAGTCCCTTTTTTGTTTGTTTATTTGTTTGTTTTTGTTTTCTGAGACAGTATTTCTTTGTCTGGCTATCCTGAAACTAGCTCTGTAGACCAGGCTGGGTTTGAACTCACAGAGATCCACCTGCCTCTGCCTCTAGAATGCTAGGATTAAAGGCATGTGCCACCACCATCCAGCCCTTTAGTTCCTTCTTAACCTAAAACATTCTACCTGGTCACACTTGGATCTGTCTACAACTCTAATGACATCAATTTAGGAGTGTAGCTCTTGGGTCTTGGTGTTTGGAGAGTTCAGCCAATAGCAGTCATTCTCTGCCCATCCCCTGGAGTCCTTGCCTGCCATTTCTGTGTGCTCGGTGATAGCGCCCACAACTCTCCTTGGGAAGCATGGCCCTCGGACAAGGAAACCTTCCTTCCAGCTTTAGCCATCAATTTGGGACTTGGAGGCCTGTCTTTTTTGATGAGGTGACAGGTGGGGGCTGATGCTTCCACGTCTAACTTACAGATGGAGTCCCTAAGCATCAGGCAGATGAAGCCACCATCTGTGCATCTGGCTGAGATCATAGTCATACTGACTTCTGTGTCTGCTCCCTAGCTCCTTAATGCTTTTAAACCCTCCATGACTCTCACTTCATTCCCTAGCCTACCCTAGAGAACCCATCTACCACCACTGCAACAGTGAAGTTAAGAGGTTTTTGTTTTTGTTTTCTTAAGATGGTGCATGTAGCCGGGCGTTGGTGGGGCATGCCTTTAATCCCAGCACTCGGGAGGCAGAGGCAGGTGGATCTCTGTGAGTTCAAGGCCAGCCTGGTCTCCAGAGTGAGTGCCAGGATAGGCTCCAAAGCTACACAGAGAAACCCTGTCTCGAAAAAAAAATGGTGCGTATAATCTCGACACTCAGGAGGCTGAGGCAGGAGGATCATGAGTCCAAGGCCAGTCTGGGCTACAGAGAAGTCAGGGAAACCACTCTTCCCAGAACTCCTGGAGAGCTTCCTCTACTCATTTGTCCTGTATGCTGTGTACTTAACTTAGAATGTCACCTGTCAATATCTCTGAGCCATAAAGGAGACTGTGAGGCCATGAATCTATTTCATCTGCACACGTATATGACTCACAACAGTGTATGGCCCTGAGTAGGTGCTCAGCAATGTTTCTGATGAACGAATGAGATGAATCAATTGTAACCAAGGCAGCTTCTTCACAAGGCTGGGCTCCTAACTCTGTGCTGAGATGCTGGGGT